GAATCATTTACTGCTTGCAAACCAATGATGGTAAGATGATGTCATGGGGTAGGACTGGATAAGTCTGACTTCTTCCTACTCCATTCAAGCATGTACTAGGTATAAGCAAATTGATATTGGATTATGTGTACAATCATGTGTGTTGTCATATCAGCTGTCTTTACATGCTTAAAAGAATAAATCAAATCAACTTATATAAATGCAAGTACTGACAAACTACAGAGTAACACTGACACCCAGATGCGTGGTGAACCACTGCATTCAAAATTATCCATGGTCTCAAGACGTACGTGAAAGTAAAAGCAGCTCAACTTAGCACCTGCTGCACTGCCTTATTAACAGTCTCAATAATAGTTTAAGGGTCTCACCGAAACATCTTGTGTTTTGAACATGTGAAGCACTTCAGAGCAGTGGGGGATGAACCATAGGTTACAGAGAGTTTTGCCGTCCACAGACATCAACTGCTGCGGCCGACGCTGAAAGGTCCTGTTTGAGAGAAAGGTTTGATCTCAGGTTGCAGATGAAGAAACACAACACTTGTGTTTCTGCACAAGCTTTTACTGTGTATGCATGTTGGTTACACCTGCACACTGACTCAAAACTACATAATTACTTCACCAGACCACATCAGAATGGTGATGTATTCATGTCCACTTAAACTGCGTAGTCCTACTCTCCACCCTTGTAAATGTGAAGGGGTCTAAACCAACAATATAAAATAAGAATTTGTCCACTTTTAGATTTATTTATGCACTGACATTTTCCACATATGTGCCTTGGGTATGACACACTCATTATTAGTGTGTGTTAAGAGGCAAGTATGCACATGAGGAGATCTGCTGCTGTAGTTGGACCATATATCATGTACAATATTTTCCTTTCCTGATATTTATAACTGTAGTTTTACAACATCTGATGTATTATGGCCTTTGTGTTCCTACTGTCTGAGGTGTACACTGATCATTCATAACCTTACGACCACCTGCCTAATGCTGTGTACACAGGAGTCAATGCAGGAGTCGGTTGGCCCTTGTCAAAGTGGCTCAGATCCTTACACTTGCCAATTTCCCTGCTTTCAACACAACTTTGAGGACTGAATGATCACTTGCTGCCTAATATACCCCCACACACTGACAGGTGCCACTGTAACAAGGTAATTGATGTCATAATGTTAAGGCTGATCAGTGTATGCAGCCTGGGGTCTTTGCACTTGTATCAAATAAACAAACATCAGTGTATGCAGCCTGGGGTCTTTGCGCTGGTATCAAATAAACAAACAAAAAAAAGCATGTGTACACAATCATTCTTCTGGTTTGCACATGACTAACTCATTAAATTCAAAGTGGTTGTACCTGGGGTCAGGACAAACACCAACTCCTGAATCCAAAATAGCGCTGGCCTCACTGGCTTGGCCAATCATAAAGTGGGACTGACGGATGGACGGGATTTCGTCCAGAAGGGAGGTTAGACTGTAGTAATATGCAACAATCTGCGCTCTCACACAATACTGAGATATCTGTGTGCTGAACCTGTGGAAAAGTAGACAGAAACAGTGTTCACCCCCAAAATGTGTTCATCTAGAGTGATGCACAGGAAAACCTCAGTAGAACTAGTATCAGACATAATTTCTTGTAACAAAAGGAATGTAGTTATTATTCAGGGACATACTTATTGAGAAAGTCAATTATGAGTGTCCTTTTGATCTTTGCTGCTTCTTCCTGCAGTGTGAGAGAAAATAATTTTACTTCATAGAATCACATGTATCATCCTGCTGAGCTGCCTGAGAATCTACCGCTGTGTGCAACTCACTGGGGTTTTTATAAGATCCCCCATGGCCTGTTTCTGCTTCAAAAACAAATTCAGCATCTTGTCACGCACACCAACTTTTTCCAGCTGGATGGACACAAAGGCCTCCATCAGCCTGGAGTAACAAACAAGATTCTGTTTATTAAAGAGTCAGCACAAAAGTGCAATTTGTTCTTCAAGTGTGGAAAGCTACCTTTTCTTAGTGGTGGTGGTGGTGGTGGGAGATCTCATGGAACCTCTGGAGAGTGAAGAGGAATCCTGCAGACTGTTGGCTTCACTTCCAGGTTTGGAGTCAGATCTTGTAGATTTTACATCTTTGCTAGAATGAAGGGCTTTTTTGGACTGAAAGTGGAAAACAGACTGTAATATCCTGCAATATTATCAGCAATTTATTTATGTTAACATGTGTAAGCAGTTTTAGTTGGTCGAGATGGAGCTAGTTTTAACTACATTATATAGAGTTCAGTGGTTCCCAAACTAGGGGTCAGGACCCTCCACAGGCCACAAAATAAATGAGGGGAAATGAAATGAGCAATGAAGGTTTGGCAGAAGAAAAAACTGAGTTATGCTTCACAAAGTTCTATTCATTTTTGGATATGCTTTTTGTGAAACACTGAATAATTTGATTTCTTTGGATGTCAAACATATATTTTACTGACACATTTAGAAGGGAATTCTGGACAAAATGTGGTAGGAAGCCACAACTATGCATTGTAAAGGTTCACAAGCTAAATGTCAGAAACCACGGCTTTATCTTCAACAATGTTCTGCATTTATAAAATCATACTGTTTATGTAAAATTTTAATTTGAAAAGCAACTATTAACCTGATCAATACACACCTCAGCTGACGAGGTCTTATCCTCCGCCCAGTAGCAAAGACAAGCCAGTTTCACAGCACTTATCAAGGCGTTCTTCTGTGTAACCTGACAGGCCAGTGTCACCTGAAGGTTTTCAATACTCTGTTTGTTCATAAGCTATGAAGAGATTACAAAAAGGAATTAGTTCTATTTATTCATTTGTTTTCAGGCTAATAAGCATCTGTGTTTTATTTTAACATACGTGAACGACTGCCTCTTCAGAGCTGAAACTAAACTTTCCAATCTGGTTCTCGTCCAGTTCTTGGATGCTCAGAGGCAGGTGGGACGGGGTGAACCTGCAGCAGACAGTGCACTTTTATTCCCTTTCAAACTCTTGTGGAAAAGCAGACGAGACGGAGCTGAGAGGGGTAACATGTCTGTGAAACAAATCCTGACATCTGTTTTATATTAGTTGCAGTTGCATCTTACTGATGATCAGCTACTATATTCTGTCAAGAGCTACAATCTGGCTCTAATCTGACATAAGAGTTAGACAAAATTCATATATTTGTCATTGAGTGTCTGACAGAATAATGGTAAGAACTGAAAGACAACCTGAACGTTTCCCTGGAACTGCCTGTAATGGCCAATGGGACACTTAATCAAGGGGATGTGTAGTGTAGATGTTTACTTGTCCACTGAGCTGTCGTCCTCCACTGTTGCTGTGATAAAAACGGGCCTCTGCTCTGTTTGGTCTTTCTGTTCAGCGACTTCAAACTGCACCGGTCTCAGGTAAAGGTGGAGCTCATCAGCGCCAAACTCCGAGGCCACATTTCTGTACAACCTGGAAAGAATTATTGAATGTTACAGACTGACATGATACTGAACATTTTGGTGCCTAGTAATAATACTAGAGCATTGTTTTTGTGCTGAAACAAAAATTGCAGTTTTGAACCAAGAGATTTCTTTTTTGTTTTTTCAGTTTAATATTCTGTGGTGTTTAAATTAATTATAGGAGGTCCATCTCTCTCACTGGACAGTTGTTGACATCCCACAGATCAAATCTGTGCTAATTTTATATTGATACTGCAAAGCTTCAGTATCTTTGATTCAAGTTATTGATACATGGAGCGAGGTGACAGAGGTCTGACTCATATTTGCTCAGAATACTGATTATCCTGGTGAGTGTTATCTTAACTGTGCCAGATGTGCAGTCTCCGAGGCTGACTCCAGCAGCCGATGCCGGATGGTGACGAGTTCCAGCAGTTTGGAGAAAGTTTCCACTGCAAACGATTGTTTCTCTCTTTCCTGCTTCAAGTCTGTCTCCTCTGTGGATCTTACTAATAATAACCCCACCTTTTGAACTAAAATTGGGTCTTCGAAAAACAAATCTGAGAACAACTGACAGAGAACAAAAACAAAGTTAGACTTATGTGCCTTATTATTTTATGTTAATTGATTGGAAGAGATTCCAAAGAAAGAAAAACCTACATCCTTCTGTACTTGAGAGCTATAGCAGAGTCCAAGTGAAGCCAGACTATTCCAGCTCTGCAGGGCCTGCTGCAGGAGTTTCTGTCTTAGGAAGAGTTTGTCAGAGACAGCTGTGGCTCGGTGCAGCTGACAGAGTTCAGTGTGAGCCTGGATTAAACCATGATAGACTGCAGGGGCCAGGCAGAGGGACGGGTGAACCTCCAGTAGGAATACATTCATCAGGGCAGGGCTGCAAACATGACACAAGGAAAATACAGAGGTATTTTGGAAGACACCAAATCCAGGGTAGTTAGACTGACTGCTCTATTTACTTGCCTGCTGCCTCCAAGTGAAACCAGATGTTTGGGAATGAAGTTGGGTGGAAGCCCGTAGTCATGATTCGAGACATTACGGCTGGCTCTCCAGATGCGCTGGAGGTACTGTCGCTGTCTTTCAACCTGATGAGATAAACAATACGAATACGTCACAACATGAACGGCAAAGATTACACTAAAATAAGGTACAAGACCAGAAAAAAAAAGTTTGATGTGCACAAAGTGCATTTACACATCAAGACTGATTTAAAACGAGACTTCTTTTTTACAATACACTCATTATTACTTTCAATCTAGAAATGCAACTAATGATTATTCTCATTATCCGTCACTTATTTTCCTGATTATCATTATTGTAGTCTGAAAAAAGTCAAAAAGTATTACAAATGTGTTCATCACAACTTTGCAAAACCAAGAACAAAGTCCTAACATGTCTTGTTTTGTTCAACCAAAAGTACAAATTCAAAGATATTTCAATTACTATCATTTATGACAAATACATGTAACAAATCTGCCTATTTGAGAAGATAGATCCAGTGAATATTCAGCACTTTTGCTTGACAAATGACTGAAACAGTTTAATTCAAACAATAACATTCAGAGATTTGCATCTACACTTAAGGTGCATGAATTTAGTCCTTTGCAGAGTTTTGTTCTGACCTGATTGTCCAGAATGTCTTTAATCAGCTGTCTGTGGCTTTGCAGGCAGCCTATCTCTGCCCTGTAGGCCTGGACAAAATAATCCTGGTTTAGGTCAAGCTGTGGTCTACTGTGCATGATGTCAGTGATTACTCGGGCCAGTGCAAATCTCTCCTCAGTCCCTGCTGTATGCTGGTAGGCTTCATAGTAACAGTTCAAGAGCTGAAGAAAACATAAATAACAAAAGTCTTTTCATCCAGGAACTTGATTCGCTTTGGAAGGTATGAAAGTTAGCAAGCAAACATACATTCCAGTTGAAGTATGTGATGAAAAAGATTAATTCAGTAAATAATTTAATCTCCACCTGGTTCTATAAAGTCAATTAAATATACTTATAATGTTTAGAAAAACACTGTTTGTATAGTAAGAAAATAAGATGACATTCAACAAAGCAACATGAAAATGAAACAGCCACATCACCGGTACTTTTTATTTAATATGATACCTGCACTTTGCCCTCCATAAACTCAGTCTCACACGTCCACAAGTCGAGAAGCACCGCGACATGGTCGACATCTGTCCCGGCCAAGGAGTGGATGTCTGCTTTCGGGGTCACAGTGGAGACACTCTCAGCTTTTCCCATTTTCTTAATCCTGTGACTCCGGATGAAATGCGAGCCAACTAGAAGGAGTTCACTCTTCAGCTCCTCCAGGTCCTTCAGTGCAGCATCATACATGATGTAAAACCCTCTCTGGTCCTGAGTGTGGACAAACTGCTCCTCAGAGCTGTAGAAATCATGGAGATTCTCCACCTCTGCAAACTCCATGAACTCAGAGCAGTGGACCTGCAATATGAAGAAGTCGTAAATAAACATATACAGCAGAGACTCATAGACAGCCGTGTCTTTATAAACCTTTTAAAGAAACTGTTTTGCAATCCTCCACTCACTGGCTCTTTTGCTATTTTGATTTGATTTATTTATTCTTTCAAGCATATGAAACAGTTGATATAACAACACCCATTTTTACACAATCCAATATCAATTTGCTTATACCTAGTACATGCTTGAATGGAGTAGGAAGAAGTCAGACTTATCCAGTCCTACCCCATGACATCATCTTACATCATTGGTTTGCCAGCAATAAATGATTCACTTCTGCACACACACACATTATACTAAAAAAGAATATAACAGTGTTAACATTCTTAAATCACATAATTGATATACTAAAGAATGGTTACAAAATATAATCATTGAGCCTGTTCTTGCATATATCTTGATTGACACATACCTTTATATTTACGTTTGAACTCGTCAATTCTATTACTATTTTTTATGTCCACACTTAAATTGTTCCATAGTTTTACACCACTTATAGAAATACAAAATCTTTTTTTTGGTTGTACGCATAGCATGAATTTTTAAATTTAACTGGCCCCTGAAATTGTATCCCCCTTCCCTTTCATTAAATAGTTTTTGAATTCCACCAGGTAATAAATTGTTCCTGGCTTTATACATAAACACAGCAGTCTTATATCCCACTAAATCAAAAAATTTTAACAATTTAGACTG